AAGGAGGACTGATTGAACCTGGGAGTTGAAGGCTGCAGTGAGCTATGATCATGCCACTACACTCCAGCCTGAGCAACAGTGATACTTTATCAAAAAAAAAAAAAAAAGATGTAGTACCTGTACCCTCAAAACACTTCATATTATCCTTTTTTTCCTTCTCACTTTTTACCTTAAGCCATCCTGTTTATCAACTGAACATTTTATGTGTCTGCGCATGAGACAGGATGGGGTGGGGAAAGAAGCTGAGTAGGTGACACCAAAGGGGACTCATCTATATGATCAGCCCTGTTGTACTATGTGAACCACAAGGACTTTATTTATAGGGTGGTGAATCTTCTAGAGATGAAAAGTCTCAGCCCCAGAAAGCAATGCCAAATTATGAAAAATCTGGAGGAAGAAGAAAACCACCAAAGGGTATTCTTTATAAAAAAAAAAGAAGAAGAAGAAAGAAAAAAAGTATACCTACTGAAGACTCTGACCACATATCATTATGACTCATAGTTAAATGGGCCTTGGTGATTCACTGCTACTTATGTTTTTAAGCATGATAATTATCTTTACTGCTTAAATTAAGCTTTTCTTATTTCCAAAAACAATTTTTAAACCCCTTGAGGCTTTGTTGGATTTTTATTCCATTGTTTAAAGTAAATAAGATTAAATACTCTGAGCCTTTTAAGTCTAACATGAGATTTGGTTACATTTTTGTAATTCAGGATGTCTTTTGAGTTTCCATTCTAGATCACTTTTTGAAAGAATAAGATTTTTAAAATTTCTCATCAGCTGTAAAGTAGAATTTTAAAAGATATTGCTAAACAATGCTATGTCAATGGTTTTCCAACACTGAGCCCATGAAGATAAGCAAAGGAAGAGAGAGAAGTAGAAGGAGGAAGGAAAAAGTCCTTGAGATATTTTCACTGCCTTTACTTAAATGAGTATTAACTGGTTTCAAAACCAATATCAATTTTACAGTAAATGAGTTTTGACATGTGCATGATTATGGTTATATTTTCAGTGAAAATGGCCACGCCTGGGGCTGAGAATCTCCTGAGATCCTAACCACTTCAACTATTCTCACTACTATACTTGTTCTTTAATGAGTGAATTCATCTGATAGGTAGATTGGATGCAACTTAGCTCTCCATTAAAAATTAGCTTTATGTTTTAAAATCCTAACAATTTCTGAATAAGGAAATAACCTAATATATTCTAAAGAATAGCAAAAGCATAACCTCCAAATACCACAGTGCTTCACTAGCATGGTCCTTGCTCTTTTGTAATTCCAGGCTTCTAGCATAGTACTTGGCACACACAGTTTGCTGTTCAATGAGCTACTTTTAAATTACAATGAAGTCATATAAACATGAGTGAAATTAAGAGATTAAGAATGTGTTCGTGCACATATACTTTAACAATCTCATCTGACTTGGCAGAAAACTGTACTTTGCCAAGAATTTCATTATTTAATTAATTAGCATTGCTGCTAATTAACACCATGTGCTTAACCAAGTGACTTACCCCTCTTTTTAAAAAATATTTGTTTAATAACTCTCTGTTTTATTTATGGAAAAGGACTGTCTTTTCTGACTTTATACATGTCTGAATATATTCTTTGTACTTGCCAACCTAGACAGGGACACTTAATCAGAACTTTGTATGATGTTACAAAGTCATTGAAAGGCTTTGTTCATGCCTATTAAAGGGCTAAAACAGTAACTACTCAGAATTCTGTAACATTTTCGTAAAACATCTATTTACATCATCTTGCCTGTCTGGATCATACTTAAAAGAAACAGTGCCTTACACACTGAGGATGCTATTGTGTTGTTAAAAGTTAATTCTAGATTTGACCCTAATTCTGATTTTAGTCCTTTTCTTTCCTCTTCAATCTCTGTGCTTACAGAAAGCCACTGAATAGACAATTAAATGATCTATTACTACTAATATATATGGATATATGTATTTTATATAAAATGCTTTCAAATGTCTTCTATCATTTAACCTAACCAATGAACCAGTGAGTTTAAAAATATTACTGATTGTATTTTTCAGATAATGTAACCAAACAGAGGACCAGGTAATAAAAGGCATAAATTGGTTTAAGATATACACAGGGCCATTGCTCAAGAGAAATGTGGCTAAAAGAAATTATACATGTATAAATTTTGAAGTAGACTTGTAGTTCTATCAGTGAATGATATCAACATTATCTAATTAGCCACTAGATTGGTTATATGTTTATATGTTGTTTCATTAGCACATATCAGTACTTAAGAATGCCAAATATTAGTCTAAGCACGATACATATAATTCTTTTAATCCTTCTAGTAAGTTTTGAGATGGGTGTTATTCTTTTATCCATTTTATAGATAAGGAAGCTGGACACCGTGAAGTTAAAGCCAAGGCCCACACAACTAGTGTGTGAAGCACCTAGGATTCACTTCCAGAATTCTGGATTTTAAGCTTCTTTTTTTTTTGAGATGGAGTCTCACCCTGTCACCCAGGCTGGAGTCTCGGCTCACTCAACCTCTGCCTCTCGGGCTCAAGTGATTCTCCTGCTTCAACCTCCCGAGTAGCTGGGATTGCAGGCATGCACCACTATGCCCAGTGAATTTTTTGTATCTTTAGTAGAGGTGGGGTTTTACTTGGCTCTGACGTTGGCTGGGCTGATCTCAAATCCCCGACCTTCTGATCTGCCAGCCTCAACCTCCCAAAGTTCTGGGATTACAGGCATGAGCCACCATGCCCAGCCTGGATTTTAAGCTTCTGAAGAGTGGACTATTTTCAACAATGGTGTATCTTGCCATAACTAACATAGTACATTGTATGTAGAGGCATTTATTAATTATTTACTGAATAGAATTATGGCAGCAGAGGAACATTTTTTGTCAGAATAGTGAGACTTCCTTTGTGAGCCACACCATGAGACCAGTGCCTCCAAAGTAAACCAAAGCCACTGCCTCTAATTGATGTTTCCCGGGGCAATCAGAGCTTCAGAGAACTAGACATACTGAAAATGTCATCACACCTTGCTCCACAACTTAGAAGCTGGGTAATCTTGAGTAAGTCAACAAGCTCTCCGAAGCCCATTTTCTTTATCAGTAAAATAGGGATATTAAATAGCCTGAGAAAGAAGTTGTGAGGATTCAGGATAATGTAATAAAGCACTGCAGAAAGTAATATATAGTAATGACATGATTAATAATAATAATGCCTGCGATTTTTTTTTATGGTGATTATTCTCATTAGCTCCAAAGCACACCTCTAACTGCTGGAGCAAATGGAACCACAACCTAGGTCTCCAGATTTCTAATCCAGCCTGTCCAGAGACTTATTGTTATTCTATGGCAACTGGAGCAAATTGAATAACTTCTGCATTCATCTGGTAGTACCATCGTATTTTCAATGCATATCGTTTTTAAGTTCTGCTTTTAGGCTCGGTTGTGAAAATAATTTTATAAGGTTGCAGAAGAACAAAGCAATTTGGTTTTCCTGATTAAAGAACTCTACTGACACAACATCAGGATTAAATTCACTCTGGACAGCAGATGTTATTATATCAAAACCACAAAATGTTATCAGGGCGGTTCCCTCAGAAGACATTTACTGGCAAAAACTTCTGGCATTTACTATTGAAAAAATTTACATATTTTCTCTTATAAGAGTTTATGGTAGAAAATACAAAGAAAAAAAAGAGTAAAATAGAAGTCTCCAGAAATGCCATCACTGAGAAAAGCATAAACCTGGGGTGGGTTTGTGGTGGGCGGAGAAATAATGGAATTATATCATCAATTATATGCAATATTTATAATTTGTGTTCTGGTTCTACAATATACATTTTTCACGTCATTAAATATTCTGTACAAGGTCTCCTTAAAAAGATGTGTAGAATTCTATTGTATAGATATCCAATAATGTAATTAACTGAACATATGGTTGTTTACAGTTTTTTTTACTATTTAAGCAACCCTGCTTGACTATTTCTGTGCACAGATGCTAGTTAAAATCTTAGGATAAATTCTGAAAGTAGAATCACTTGAACAAATATTTTTAATGCTTGCCAAAGTGCTTCTGGCAGCGAATTAACCTTGCAACAATAAATATTATTTCTAAAAATAATCTTAGTCCATTTGTGGTTTTTCTTTAAATGGTATCTTTCCAGGTTTTCAAAACTCTGTATTTCTTTGGTTACTAGTGATATTCAAATTTTAAAATATATTTATCTTTCATTTTATTCTCTTTTGTAAAATGCCTATTTATATACTTCATTTTTTTTTTTTTTTTTAAGAGACAGGTTTTCACCATGTTGGCCAGGCTGGTCTCGAACTCCTGACCTCAGGTCATCCATCCACCTCAGCCTCCCAAAGTGCTAGGATTACAGGCCACTGCACCCAGCCACTTCATTATTTTTATATTGGGCATTTTCCATTATTCATTTCTGTGGACTTGTTATGTAGTACTTCTTTGTTATACATGTAGCAATATTTATATCCATCTTTTTTTTATTTTTTATTTATTTATTTTTGTTTTGGGTTTTTTTTTGGAGACAGAGTCTTGCTCTGTCACCTAGGCTGCAGTGCAGTGGCACAGTCTTGGCTCACTGCAACCTCCACCTCCCCGGTTCAAGCAATTATTGTGCCTCAGCCTCCTGGGTAGCTGAGATTACGGGTGCATACCACCACACCTGGCTAATGTTCTGTATTTTCATAAACACAGGGTTTAACCACGTTGCTCAGGCTGGTCTCGACCTCCTGAGCTCAGATGATCCACCTTGCCTCAGCATCCCAAAGTGCTAGGATTACAGGTGTGAGCTACTACGCCCAGTCCGATTTTTAATTTTTCATGTCTTAACAGAAAACAACTCTCAAGGTTTTATGTTTCATGTAAGTTAATCTGCTACCTTTGGCACCACACTTAGAAATTCTCACTCTACCTAAATATTGTAAAAAAATATTAGTAATTATTCTCTGGTACTTAAAGGTTTTAGTTTTGTTTTTGTTTTTGCTTTAATGGAACGCTTCATGAATTTGCGTGTCACCCTCGCACAGGGGCCATGCTAATCTTCTCCATATCATTCCAGTTTCAGTATATGCGCTGCCGAAGCAAGCACAAGGTTTTGATTTTAACATTTGAGAATGTGATATCGCTGGCATCTGTTTGGGGGCATTGTTTGAGTTAGAGAGACACCTGTATAGGATATATATATAATATATTTTATATTTTGCCCCTCAAATGATTAGCCATTTATCAGAACACCATTTGTCGAATAACTCTCCTTTCCCCATTGATTAGAAATGCCATTTTGTCCATATACCTCTTCCTTCTTTTTAGTTGTGTCTGTTTGTGGGCCTTCTGTGCTATTGCTCTGCTCATTCTTGTACCAGTTTCACAGTGTTTAAATTATGATGGCTTTATATTCCTTTCTAAAAATTCAGAGAACAAATGTCTCCCATTGCTTTTCATTTTCTTAGCAAGTTTTCACTCCGTTTTTCTTCCAAGTGAATTTAACGGTCATTTTGACATACACTTTTACAGCTAAAATCACTATTTGTCCATTAGTGACCTAAATAGAGATTGTTCTTCCACGAGATGCTGAAAATTGCTATCACTGTGACTGGTAGAAGGAAAGAATTTGTAAATTACAGAACGTGATTCTAGAGAGAGCCGGGGAATGTTTTCTTCATTTCTTTAATTCTAGGATAGAGACATTTAGATGAAAGGGGACTTGAAAACAAGGCATTGGATTCATTCCTTGTTAGTCATAAAGTTTCATTAATTTTCCCCCATAGTACTTCTGAAAGTGTGACCCATGAATCCAGTCCCAAAATCATGGTGTATTTAAAATAGTGCAGTTTGTGAATCAAGAATATTTTTTTAACTCAAAAATCATGAAAGAGACATAAGAGTTATGTCCAGATAACATTTAAGGTGCTGCGAATGTTCCCTCCCTGACAGAAAGGCCATTCTCTTCAGAACTTGGCATTCTCTTTTTCACTGAGAACTGAGATTAGACTGTCCCTTGGTATATACTGCTTTTATTGTTGAGGGGCGTGTGTGTGTGTGTGTGTGTGTGTGTGTGTGTGGTCTGTGTGTGTTTGGTGTTACACGTATCCAATCTCTCGAGGGCAAATTGCAAACACCCTACCAGCCTATCGTCCACTCGGAGACACCAAATCATCAACAAATGTCCTTAAAGGGACATTTCCAATCCTATGATTCTATGTTTTTGCTTTGTTTCCTCCAAGATTATGCTACCTCCTTTTTTCTTTTTTGGAGATGGAGTATCCCTCCATCACCCAGGCTGGAGGACAGTGGTGTGATCTCGACTGACTGCAACCTCTGCCTCCCGAGTTCAAGCAATTCTCCTGCCTCATCCTCCCAAGTAGGTGGGATTACAGGTGTGCACCACCACGCCTGGCTAATTTTTTGTAATTTTTAGTAGAGATGGGGTTTCACCATGTTGACCAGGATGGTCTCGATCTGTTGACCTCGTGATCCACCCGCCTCGGCCTCCCAAAGTGCTGGGATTACAGGCTTGAGCCACCGTGCCCGGCCTAATTTTTGTATTTTTAGCAGAGACAGGGTTTTACCACATTGGCCAGGCTGGTCTTGAACCCCTGACCTCAAGTGATCTGCCTGCCTGGACCTCCCAATTTGCTAGTATTATGCCTGTAATCCTAGCCACCATGTCTGGCCTATGCTACCTATTTAACTGTAGTCATAATTTCATTGTAGTCTGGCATTGGTCTTTAATTATTGCAACACTCATTCAACTTAAAATATCAAAACTTTTATAATTAATCAAACTGATTAATTACGTTGGCATAGGTCACCTAGGAATCTTTACTGTGGAGATTTTTTTTAAAAAGACTTCTGGGGGAAAATTTGTGGAATAAAGCAGGATCACAGAATCTCCCTTCCAAACCACAAACCTAGGCAGCGTGGATAAATTTGGACTATAAAATTAGATTAAGTTGTGAATAGGAGAGAAAAAAGGATTTTAATGGGGCACAGAGTGGCATTGTACAGCTTCTAATTCTTCCCAGACATTAACAGAGAGGAGTAAAAAAGATGAGCTAAAATTTTTTGTAGCATGTGCTAAGTAAGGGTGTCTCTTTTTTTTGAGAGAGAGAGTCTTGCTCTGTCACCCAGGCTGGAGTGCAGCGGTGCGATCTCAGCTCTCAGCAACCTTTGTCTCCCGCGTTTAAGCGATTCTCCTGCCTCAGCCTCATGAGTAGCTGGAATTACAGGCGCCCACCACCATGCTCGACTAATTTTATATTTTGGCCAGGCTGGTCTCAAACTCCTGACCTCAGGTGATCCACTCACCTTGGCCACCCAAAGTGCTGGGATTACAGACACGAGTCACCATGCCTGGGCAAGGGTGACTCTTGATAGTGGTGGAAAAAGTCATGAAAAATTTCTCAAGAGTAGCAGCTCCTAAAATTAACTTAGAACCTAGGATGAGGCAAAAGTTAAGGACTTGCCATCTCACAGAGTGCCAGGCTGTCTTACTGTGTAAGCCCGTGGATGGGATCTACGTCTGGTTGACTGGGGGAGGCCACAGGACAGGACATCCCCAAAGGACTCTGAAGAACAAGATTTCTCAGCCAGTACTGCACCATCCCAGATTGAGCTCACTCTTTTTTTCTTCCTTCATCTCCTTGTCACTCCATCACAGAAAAGTGGATTGAAAGAATGAAACAATCTTCAAGCATTAGATCATATGGGAAAGAACAAATATGTCTCAGAGGTAAGTTAAAATAGAGTTATGGAGAATATGCCACACTATATTATAGAAGGCAGAATGTTTGAACTAAGCTCTAATTCAATTTCCAGTTAAATTCAATATAAACAAGAGGAAAAGACTAAATTTACCATTTTAACCTTTTTGTTTTTGTTTTTGAGACCGAGTCTTGCTCTGTTGCAAGGCTGGAGTACAGTGGCACGATCTCGACTCACTGCAACCTTCACCTTCACCTCCTGGGTTCAAGTGATTCTCCTGCCTCAGCCTCCCAAGTAGCTGGGACTACAGGTGCAGGCCACCATGCCTGGCTAATTTTTGTATGTTTAGTAGAGACGAGATTTCACCTTGTTGGCCAGGATGGCCACAATTAAGTGTACAGTTCTGTGGCATTAACATTCATTTTGTGCAGCTGTGGTCATTATCCATCTCAGAATTTTTTTTTGGCCTCCATTTTTAAAGAACACAACTTTGACCATCTCAGAAATTTTCATCAGTTTCCCAAAATGAAACGCTATCCATTAAACAATAACTCCCCAGATTCTCCTCCTGCAGCCCTTATTAACCCTTATTCTTTTTGTCTTCATTGATTTGACTGTTTTAGATCCCTCATATAAATAGAATCATTCACTATTTGTCCTTCTGCATCTGGCTTATTTCACTTAGCACAATGTTTTCAAGTTTCATCCATGTTGTAGCATGTATCAATTTTATTTCGTATTACAATGGAATAATTTTTCACTGTGTGTATATACCACATGCTGTTTATCTGCATGTTTATCCATTTATCCATGAACATTTGGGTTATTTCTACCTTTTGATTACTCTGAATATTGGTATACAAATATCTGTTCTAGTTCCTGCTTTCAATTCTTCTGGGTATAGATCTAAAAGTGGAATTGCTGGATCATATGATCATTCTATATTTAATTTTTTTGAGAAATTGTCACACCATTTTTCCAAAGCAGCTGTACACTTTTCCATTTCCTTCAGCAATGCACAGGGGTTCAAATTCTCCACTTCTTCTCCAGCACTTTAAAAAATATACAATGACCATTCCAATAGGTGTGACTTAATATCCCATTGTGGTTTTGATTTGCATTTTTCTGGTGATTAGTGGTATTGCCTGTTTTCATATGTTTATTGTCCTTCATGTATCTTCTTTTTAGAAATATCTATTCAAATCCTTTGCCTATTTTTAAATTGAGTTGGTTTTGTTGTTGTTGAGTTGTAGTTCTTTTTTTTTTTTTTTTTTTGAGATGGAGTCTCACTCTGTCACCAGCCTGGAGTGCAGTGGCATGATCTCGGCTCACTGCAACCTCTGCCTCCTGGGTTTAAGCGATTCTCCTGCCTCAGCCTCCCACGTAGCTGGGATTACAGGCATCCACCACCACACCCAGCTAATTTTTGTATTTTTAGTAGAGACGGGGTTTCACCATGTTGACCAGGATGGTCTTAATCTCCTGACCTCATGATCCGCTTGCCTTCGCCTTCCAAAGTGCTGGGATTACAGGAGTGAGCCACCACACCTGTAAATATATAAAGTTGTAGTTCTTTATATATTCTGCATGTTAATCCCTTCTATGACATGTGATTTACAAATGTTTCCTGCATTCTGTGGGTTGCCTTTTCACTCTGACTGTATTCATTGATGCACAGAATCTTTCAATCTTGATGAAATCCAATGCATCCATTTTTTCTTTTTTAGGCTGTACTTTTAGTGTCATATCTTAAAATCATTGCCAAATTCAATATGACGTTTTTCCACCTATGTGTTCATCTAAGAATTGTATCGTTTTAGCTCTTGTGTTTAGATCTTTGATCCGTTTTGAGTTAATTTTTGTATATGATGTAAAGGGAGGATCCCACTTCATTCTACTGCATTTAAAGTAATAACTTTTAAATAAATATAATCATCTAGCAGTTTAGCCTCTGACATTGAAGGCTTACCCAGGAGAAAAGTCAATGAGGATGTAAGTGCCCAGATGTACCATCATGCCGGTGACCCAGAGCGGCCGAGGGGCTGGTCTTCCCATGGCTCCCCCTCATCACTTCCTGAAGCCTGCTGTAGACTGCTGTAAGAGCTGCTCTCTCTCTCTCTCTCTCTCTCTCTCTCTCTCTCTCTCTCTCTTTTTTTTAAACAACTAGAGGCACCTGTTCTTTGAAGTGGGTGTCAGCTGCAGATGTAACACCCATTATCACATGACATCTGTTTTTAGTTAGTGAAAAATGCTGCAATGCTTTACTTATTTGCCTCCCTGCTTAGAAATCCACACGCTTCAAAATTTCCCACAAGGGATCATTAATATTTTTCTCAAATACTTTTTTTTTAATATCAGATGTCTTTTTGGGATTTACATGTACTA